GGCAGCAGCAGCAGCAGCAGCGCAGCGGACAGCCCGGCGGGGGCCCCGTTGGAGTTAAGGGTGAGGAAGGTGGAAGAGTTTGCAAATTGAGTAAAATAAAATAAAACAGAATAAAATAAAATGGTTTTATTTCAGCAGCTGCTGCTGCTGCAGCAATAAGCGCAGCAGCAGAAGATTTGGCGCTGCAGGCAGCAGCAGCAGCAGCGGATGCAGCTGTCGGTACAGCGCAGCCCCCAGCAGCAAAGGAGCAGCAGGGGTTTGGAGATCTGCTGCGTTTTGCTGCAGTGTTTGGAAGCAAAGTTGAAAAAGAAGTTGCAAAATAAGAGGAGAAGGAGGGTTTATGGGAGATTAGGGTTTAGGGTTTAGGGTTTAGGTGCGGGTGCGCTGCGGCGGCGCGGAAGGAGAGCGAGTCGGTTGGCGGCGAGGGTTTAGGGTTTAGGGTTTAGGGTTTGGGGCTGATCTTTGGGGGTTGTGGAGTGTGTAGAAGAGCGAAGATTTGGGGGTTTGGCGGGGGTTTGTGCGTGGCCAAACGCCGGGTGCAGCAGCAGCGAAGCCCTTGCTGCAGCAGCAAACCCTAAACCCTCGTAGAAAGACCGCTGGCCTCGCGCAGCAGCAGCTCGCTGCAGCTCGCGGTTTCCTGCTTCGGTTCTTCTTTAGACTTTTCTTTTTCTTTTCTTTTTTCTTTTTCTGTTTGCGTTTCGTTTTCGTTTGCGCGGAAAGGGTTTGGGGTTTGGAGTGTACGTACACCCGAGCTGCGCGTAAAGCTGGGCGCCTGGTGGCTCCGCGCCGTTCTGGGCTCAGTCGGCCTCGCTGGTTCCGTTTTTTTCGCTTTTAACTCTCCAACTCTCTTTATTTTTGCATTTCTTTTCCCTTTTGGCATTTAATTAGCCTTTTTTTCCCGCCCGGGGCCCCCAACTGACCCGGCGATGCGGCGGCTTCTGCAGGGCGCCGTCAGGGCCCCCGAGCCCTCGAAGCGCGACGCCGTGATCTTCACTGAGGAGGGCTGGGCCCGCGCGGCGAGCAGCAGCAGCTACGGGTACCCTGCTGCAGCAGCAGACGAAGCAGCAGCAGCAGCAGCAGCAGCAGCAGCAGAGGACTACTACTCGGGGGCCGACGAGTACGCGGAAAACGAAGCTGAGGGCGAAGAGCTGGACTACAGCGGCTGGGAGGAAGCAAAAGGGGGCGAGGAGGTTTGGCCCGAGGAGGGCGAGGAGTACTCTTCCGCAGAAGCAGCAGCAGCAGCAGCAGCAGCAGCAGCAGCAGCAGCGGAGGAGGAGGAGGGGGACTACGGGTACGGGTACTCCGGGGACTCGGGGGAGACGGAGGAGGGCACGGAGGTGTACGGCGA